TTCGTGAACGATAAATTAATTATCTATCTCACATCATTGAACGAGAGAATTGCAACCATATATTGTAACTGTGATTGAAGGGATATGATGTAGTAATTCTTATAGGTATTCAAAGTCGAAGAATTCCTTATTTTGTGAGAGAACGGTCACACCTATGAATCAATAATTATACTCGATTGTTTTTTTTTTCAAATTTGAAAATCAAACACTTGTATTTCAGATAATATTTCAATCATTATTTCGTTGGATCAAATGGATTATCACAGAATGTCTCTGAAAAGTCTGTATAAACTCTTAGCACATATTTCTGAGGTCAAAATAAGCTGAATTGAAGCAACTTACCTCAGTCCGAAATAATTCCGTTTCAGAGATACAGGGTGGTGAAGTTAAAAAATAAAAATCGACAAGAAAGTTTTTCGAAAAATCCATTTTTGCACTGCTAATTGGCTGACCAAATAACATCAACTAAGATAACAACTGACGTTTTTCATTCAATATAATTTCAATATTCCGGTGCTGCATCGAACATTAAAAACCGAAATAATTCAATTCAATTAATTTTATTGTTCACACAAAACATACAGTTTTATGAACAAAAAATTCGGTTATACATATACAATGATTGATGTGGCATATTCTAAAAAAAAAACGAAACAAAAGAAGGAAGCTGTTCCGTATTATAACCTACTATATACTAAGATGCATATAGGTACTACTAATCTTTACGCATCTAGAATATTCCAGAAAAATATGCAAAGAAAACTTTTAATGATAATAATGATAATGTCATAAGAAATGTTGGGAGATATTCAGTAATGATGAAGGATCTGAGTTTCAAAATATTTCAAAGTAGCTCGAAATCAGATTTCTCAGAGGATTCTCAGAAAAGTATCTCTCATGCTTAAACATGTTCAGAAAATTATTTCCTACACTGAGACAAAAGTAATGATCATTCTAAACCATGAGAAGTGCATTGGTAAGCGCCCTCTAATGGCCACAGTGAAAAATTCGTCGTATTCGTATTTGAAGTGATACGTTCAAAAATGTTCGTGAATTCTATCATCATTCTTCAACTTCACCACCCTGTATCTCGGAAATGGAGCAATTTTGGACTGAGTTAAGTTGCTTTCGAATCGGCTCATTTTGACCTCAGAAATATATGCTGAGAGTTCATACAGACCTTTGAGGGACACCCTGTATAATAGTGAACTCGATAAATTTTGCGAAAAATATTACCAATCATACATTTGCCGCATTCATTTATTTGGCTGAGTCATACTCTGATATTGAATACACTAAATTTCCTCTTCTGAGCAGTGAATGAGGTAGTGAGAACAACAACTGGATATGAAACAGATCTGGAATTACTTTGATAATATACAGAGCAGGGTATTCTGGATGAGCTGTATGCAACCTTAAGATCTTGGTAATGACGCCAGGGCAATATCATATACTTTCATTGAAGGCTTTCATTGAATCGGAAGCTCTCTGTTGCAGTATAAATAACCTCTGAATCAGGAGATATAGAAGAAAGCTCGGAAGAAAGTATCAACATTCAAAGATGGTGTTCTTCAAAACATAAGCCATAAGCAAAAGCCCAAGGTCTACTAACTCTATCGGCTCATATAGATTTCTATCAAGTACGTATGTACCTAAAGGTCGAGCCAATTCAAAATCATTATTACACAGATTTAAAAAAAATGTTTTCTTCTCGAGTGTGAATCATTCATTTTAAATATGCCTGCCTCATGAACAAATGGTTTTTCTTGGGAATAATAGAGTTGAGTGATTGATTGATATCGAGTATTCACATTATTCTAGACGTTTCTGATGAAATTCTCTACTCAGATTGTTCTGAAAATAAGAATTAGAGAAAACGGATCCAATAAGGTCTACCTTATGTGGCAATTTGAAAGCCTAGAAAAACAGCTGCTTTTTACAATAGGAATATTCAGAGTCGGAAAAAGCTAGATTGAAGTCTTCGAATATAGCAATTTTCCATAATAGTCGCTGTAATCTATCAACGATTAGAATATATGGTCACAATAGTGTTGAGTTCTTTAATTAAAAGTGGAGTCAGCGGATGAATTACGTAATCATCCCCAAAAGAGTGTTAGTCTATATGATACCACTCCTCCACCAACTCCACCAAGTAGGTACATATTAAACTGTTTTAATTCTTCAATATTAGGAGTGTCAAATGAAGAAATTTCATTTCGATGTCGACAATCAATATTTGGCATGCAGATATTATATTCTCTATATCTAACACTCATAGAATGAAATAACCAACTCGTTTAATCATGAATACTTGAAGACGAACGCGGTACATGTTTGTGAAAAATGTCTCTATATAGGTATTTACTTTTCAAATTTCATTCAAATTATAGTGGAGTTAGTGATATTTGTTTTTATTCAATCATAATAATAATATACAAAAATCCACGGGTATTTCACGTTGTTGTCGCATGAGCTTTGCGTAAGTTGACCAAGTTTTTCTCCGAATTCAATAATGCACCAATCCTTTATCGATGATGATTATAAAATTCATATATTTTCCAAAGTCGAGCCTACTGAAAATTGAGAGAACTATTCAAGGTTCTACCCAAACAAATTTTGTTAGTGAATTTCGATTTCTTATCCTTAGAAACAGTGACAAATCCCAGCGGATCATGCTTTTATTGAAATACACATATTTGCGAAAATGTAAAGAAATATAACAACTATGAAACCCTATTCTCAGACTATCAACAAAAATTAATTGGGTTGTACAGACTTTTTGAAGACATCCTCTGTATAATAAGGTCACTTTTGTTCTTCTCACGTGTTGCTTATGTCCAACTATCTGTCAATCACGTACTTTTTTCTAGAAGACAACAATACGTAGAAATATTAAAATCAGCCGATGTTTGGTCTTTCAATGGTTTTGACTATCAACGATTATATACAGGCAGATTCACGGTGGAAGGCACATTAGACGTTTCTGGACCACTTAACTTGGGATTATTCTGAAAATTTGGTGGCTTGGACAATTAGTTATGCTCTATCGACCTGAAATATTCTCAGCGCTGCGACGTTGCCGCTTATATTGAAAAATAGCAACAACTATGATTTGTTATATGGTATACCCTGTATATCATTTCATTTTCAGATTTTCCTGAAGAGCAGATTTCATTGACTCATAAAAGTTGGGGTCTAGCAGTGACAATTAAAGAAATATAGGGTATCATAAATCGAGAATTTTCAACTGCAAGATTTTTTTGTGTCAAAACGGTTTCAATGTCCCTATCTCAACTTTTTATTCATTATCGATTGATATTTAATTGAAATAGATACAGAATTAAGATTTTCAACCACCCTGTATCTATTCCAATTAAATATCAATTGATAATACATGAAAAGTTGAGATAGGGACATAAAAACCGATTCCACTAATTATGAATAGTTTCGACACAGGAAATTCTTGAAGTTGAAAAATCTAGATTTTTCACATCCTATATGTTTGTTATCATTTTCGCTAGACCCCAAGATCAATGGAATCAGCTCTTTAGAAAGAATCTAAAAATGGAATAATATTTAGGGTGTCCCGTTCAAAAATCGAAGATGTTGCAACTTTTCAATATAAGCGGCAACGTCGCAGTGTTGAGAATATTTGAGGTCGATAGAACACAACTAATTATCCAAGAAACCAATTTTTCAGTATAATCCTACGTTGCGTTCTCCTGAAAAGTCTAATGTGCCATCCACCGTGAATCAGCCTGGATATATTTTTTGTATTCCAATGGGTTGAATTCTGTTCAATGTATTTAGTTCTTTGGGAGAAACTATATAGCCCAAAAAGTACTTTTTTTTTAATGAGTCAATCTGGTACACGGATGGCTCAAAATTTGGGGGCAGTTCAGGTGCAGGGGTATACAATGAAGAAACAGGGAAAGAAATTTCAGTTCCTTTAGGCGAATATGCATCAGTGTTCCAGGCAGAAGTACTTGCAATACTCACCTGCGTCCAAGAAAACCTAATTATGAGAGGTCGCAGACCAATCACTATATGCTCGGACAGCAAAGCTGCAATACTGGCTTTGCAATCCAATAGGATCACATCCAAATTGGTGTCCGAGTGCAGAAAAGCCTTGGAAAACCTGGCAAAATCAAGAAAAGTCAGCCTCAAAGATCGGTTCAGGACGAACCTCGGTCGGACCGGAACCAATCTTGGGAATACCAAATAGCCTGGCAATGTCCTCTATAGAGGAACAGCTGCAAAAGCAATTCCTCAAAATATGGCAGGACACACCAGGAATGAGACAATCGAAGCTCCACATAAAGGAACCTTCGAAGAGGCTCGCAAAAGAGGTTTTATTCCTAAACAGGCGAAACCTTAAAATGGTAGTGGGGCTCCTAACGGGGCACAACCACCTCAATTGGCACCTAGAGCTTATTGGGATCAAGGATGACCCCCTTTGCAGATGATGCCTGGAAGATGACGAAACGTCATCACATGTCCTCACTGAGTGTCCAGCACTGACGCATCAGAGGAGGGCTGTCCTTGGCCACATAATTTTGAGGCCAGAGGACGTAAAAGAGATTCAGCTGAGGAAGCTGCTGAACTTCTCCAAGGCAGTCGGCATACCCAGCTGAATGTCGTAACATGTGGGCGCACAATGGGCCCGAATAAGGAGGCCCACGTGCAGGGGGTTCACCCGCCCACCAGTGCTTCGAAGAAGAAGAAGAGAAAAAGAAGTACTTTTTTCATATTTGCTTTTCATTCAAAATCTAGTACAAAGTTCAAAACATTATTCAACATGTTTTCTATCCCAATAATTCATCCTTATTCCCATTCAAAATTGAAATCGAAATGGAATAAAAATTTATCAATAACTCTGCACCTTGTATCACATTTCGTAGAAAAACTTGTGTTATTTTTATTTTGCGAATTAGCATGGCGAGAAACTAATTTTTGTTCATGATTTGTTCATTTCATCCTGCATTTTACGTTTTTATTAGACCCAGAACCACCACTTCCACCACCAAAAGGACACCACGAAAGAAATCTCGAACAAGGTAAGTGTTACGTTCTATTACAATACAACAATTCCATGATTTATACATTCTTTTGGCAGATATCAAAGGTATACCTAGTTTACAGCAGTCAAGTATTCCGGAAACTGTTCACCATTTGTTTCCTACAAATTCATTGAGGTACCTGAATAATATCCTAATCAATTCATTGACGCATCTAAAAACCGATAGAAGCTTAAAAGTTCATTTACTCGTTTACGTTATATCCATATCAACGTATACATTATAGCTGATGAGTTAAAAGAGTTAATTCGTCGTTGAGTTAACAGATATAGGTTTATGCAACGGGCTATCAATCAATCACCAATCAAAACAAACCGGTCTTCCGTAAGTCGAAATATCATTAAATAATCTGGGTACAAGGTTTATATCCTATCTGATAACTATCTCAGGTAATATTGGTGTAACAGGAACATGTAAACGTGCAAAAATTATGTATTTTTATGGGCATTTGGAATCTACTACTTAAAAATGCAAAAAAGTATCGTAAACATTTTACATAAACTGGTATTTTTTAAACGGAGCACCCTGTATTCCATTTTCTTAAACGGTAGTGCTGTTTCTCATGATTTCAAATAGAAATACTTTATCGAGGTTATGTTTGCCAGTTTTTGAAAAATATAGATTCTTAGGGTGCCGTAGAACGCCAGAAATCGCAGCTTTGTGGTCTGGCGTTCAACTTTTTGCCTTATCTATACCAAAAAAAATCTATATTTCTCAAAAACTGACTTAGGATAATAAAGTATACAGAAGTGCACAATAAACGGCCAGTGCTGTAACTTCTGAATCATTTGAGATCGGATTTTGAAAATTGGTGGGTAGCAAGTAAATACCAAATTGCTCATTAATTGACGAAACAATTTTTGTTCTTTCACTTCCGGTTTCACGGGAAACGACGCTAACTTTTGATATTTAAAAAGGACACCCTGTATTTTATTCCATAAGCAGTTAGGGATCATTATGAAGAATTCAACGATACCGTTTTTGATAGGGTTATTTCAAACGATTACGAAGATATTCGCGTTCTGAGTTTCCATATGCTCAATGGGTGTGACTTCGCAATATCGAAACTTCTTTCTCTGTCCCACTTATTGAGCAAATGGAAACTCAGAACGCGAATATCTTCGTAGTCGTTTTAATTAACCCTATCAAACCTGATGTCGTTGAATTCGTCATAATAATCCGTAACCGAGCATGGAATAAAATACAGGAAGTCCTATTGAATAATCAAAAGTTGAACTAGTTGAAGTCGTTTCTGGTGAGACCGGAAGTGATTGAGCAAAAATTGTTTTATCAATAATCAATGAACAATTTGGTATACTTGCATGTATGCATGTGCATTCGCTCGCAGAAAAACTTTGGGTCCTGAAAGTGAGGAAAAACATCCTCAGAAGCCTAAATTAGAACGGAAATAAACACAGTGGTTGATTTATGAACACAAAAAATATAAAGAAATACATTGAGAATTCGCATTCTCCATGTGATGAAAATATTAATTCTTTCTCGGTTTATTCAACAGAAAACAACTACATTCCTGGCTATATGCCACGGCGAATATTGAATTGCATCTATTGAACACACACGATAAGAATTTTGAAAACAAAATCTTCTGAAAAAGAGAATTTGCATTCTCCTTCATATGAAGATATGCATATAATATCATCCTGAATATTCAATTTTCATTTCAATACTGAACATATTGGTAAGTTAAATACATTATATTATTGTATTCGATTTGGGAGAAAATGTCAATTTAGAGGATTTTAATTTTTCATGCTCTCTTTTTGGATATTCAATTGATATAATTCAATGTTCGACGTGGCAAATAGCCAGGAAAGTAGTTGTTTTCTGTTGAATATTCAGAATGATATCATATGCATATCTTCATATGGAGGAGAATGCAAATTCTCTTCTTCAGAAGATTTTGTTTTTCAAATTCTTATCGTGTGTGTTCAATAGATGTAATTCAATATTCGTCGTGGCATATAGCCAGGAAAGTAGTTGTTTTCTGTTGAATAAACCGAGAAAGAATTAATATTTTCATCACATGGAGAATGCGAAATCTCAATGTATTCCTTTATACACATATATCAATTTTTGTGTTCATAAATACAGGGTGATTCACATAAGAACCGACATAGAGAAGGGGCATGGGGGTCCCAAAATATGGAAATTCAACGCAACCTACATCTATACCAAGTTGCTTCCCTAAGGAGTTACAGGCTTTGAAAGTGAAGTTATAAATTTTGAAGAAAATCAGTATCTCCGTTATTCTTGAACTTAAATTAACCAAATTTGGTACACTCTGTGGATGTATTTAGGGCGTTACTTGACAGTAACTAGAGTTCAATTGAGATTTGTAAAGGGGGTATACCGGGTGGCGCACCATTAATATTCGACAGAATTTTGTCAACCCTTGATGGATTTCAAAAATCTTTGCTTTGTTTTGTGAGCAATTCAATTCTAAAACTTTTTTTACTCAAGTAATTTTTTCGACAAACCTCATCATTTTCATCAAACACTCGAATAGCTGAAAACGCGCGCTCTTGGTGTGTTTTTTAAAATCATCGAAAATTCAAAAGTTGGCTATGAAAATAAACGTCGAACAAGAAAGTAGGTCATTTAATGTGATCAGTAGAAATCGTCTGGCAAATTATCATTTAGATACGTAACAAAATACGTAAAGTAAGTACAGATACTCAAATATGAAAAACTGGGATTTAACAACTAACCAAAAAAAACACCATAAACAACAACCAGAGCAAACAATTGTTCATCGATGAATTGAAGAAATTGTTCAAAATGATCGCCGTTTTCTCTTACGCATACATTTATTCTTCTTCGAAAATTAAAATCCACCCTATCTAATAACTGTTTGCATTTATGAATAAGGCGATTTCATATATCTTCTTGAGACGCAACGGGCGAAGAATACACAAATTCTTTCAACGTTCCCCACAGAAAGAAGTCACATTTGTTCAGGTCAGGTGATCTTGGAGGCCAACATTGTGGGCGATTATTTTCTCTTCCTATCCATCTATTGGGATACTGCATGGTGGTGTAAAAAATTTCTTACGTTCATACTAAAATGAGGCGGTGCTCCATCGTGCATAAACCAATGTTGCAACCTTAGTTGTAAAGGTACCTCGTCAGTCGTCAAGTAGATACGGAAGGGTGTTTTGTAGAAATTCTAAATAATCTTCACCATTCAACCGATTCGGTAAAACAACAGAACCAATTAAATATCGATCAATAATTCCCATTCAAACATTCACTTTGAATTCGCGTTGGAAATGCCGAGGAGTTATTGCATGTGGGTTTACGTCAGAATACTCATGATAGTCATAGAGTTTTCTGATACCTCTGCCAGTGAAAGTCTCTCATCCGTAAAAAGAATTTTCTTTTGGAAGTTATCATCTTGGTGTAGAATAAACTGACAAAAATTTACACGTTGAACCAAATCTCCGGGTAAAAGTTCTTGGACTTTTTGTACATGATAAGGGTGTAAGAGATTGCGACGGATAACTAGATGCACAGAACTCTGCGATATACCAATTTGTCGAGATAAATTCCTAGTAACAATATGTGGATCATCTTCAATCGCATTTAAAATGGCTACTTCATCTTACGGCCTGAGTCCTGAGTCGTTCTGAGTGCGACAGCACGTTCTCGAGTATTATTTAAAAACTTTCCCGTTTATCTAGCTCTTTCAACATTAGAAAATGTTTCTCTATGGGGAATGATACGGTTAGGAAATCTTCTACGATATTCTTCTACACTTCTTCTACAGTTTCCTTCACAAAAACCTAGCACTAACAGCATGTCAACTTGCTCGTTAAAAGAAAACTTCCCGTTCATTTAAAAAACACTCAAACAACAATTACTTAATTGAACAACTTACTTGCTTCATTTTCAAGTTTGACGTTTATTTTCATAGCGAACTTTTGAATTTTCGATGATTTTAAATAACACACATAGAGCGCGCGTTTTCAGTAATTCGAGTTTTTGATGAAAATGATAAGGTTTTTCGAAAAATTACTAGAGTAAAAAAAGTTTCAGAATTGAATTTCCCACAAAACAGAGCATAGATTTTTCATAATCCATCAAGGGTTAACAAAATTCTGTTGAATATTAATGGTGCGCCACCCGGTATACCCCCTTTACAAATTTCAATTAAATTCTAGTTACTGTCAAGTGACGCCCTTGATACATACACAAAGTGTACCAAATTTGGTTGCTTTAAGTTCAAGAATAACGAAGATATTGATTTTTTTCAAAATTTATAACTTCACTTTCAAAGCCTATAACTCCTTAGGGAAGTAACTTGGTATAGAGGGAAGTTGCGTCAAATTGCCATATTTTGGGACCCCCTACATATCACCCTGTATATCTGAGAATATTCCTTTTCAATATTTTCACCCAATCAAGGGGTTCAAACTTGAACGATGGAAACTTATTTTTATAGACCTCAATCGCAGATTCGTGATTAGGTTTTCTTAATTCAGAATTTATTTCCACATCCTGTATGATAAATGTCAATTTATCATACATCCAAAAATAAAAAAAACAATGAATGTTTGAATGTTACTATAAAAGTGGTAGAAAATTATTATATTATTCGGTGACTAATACGTCAAGAAATGTAATCTCACCCTCTTGTGATATTACATAGTTTGTTGACACATTCTCCATTTTTTTGATGAATGAACACTATAAGTTCATCATCTCAAGGACCCACCTAGTTTTCTTTCCGTCTTGAAATCGATTTCCTGCAAGGAGAGAAATGTCAATATTTGATAATAGATGATGAAAGAAAATAACAGTTTAGGATGTAACATATTGTATTCTATCACTTTATATCAACTAAGGGTTACTATACAAGTGGTAGAAAATCATTATATTATTCGGTCACTGAAACATTAGAGAATTTAATCTCATCACTCTCTTGTGTACAGTTTGTCGACACATTCTCCATTTTTTTG